CTCGCAGAGGTTTATGGGGTTTCCCATACCGACTGTAGCTATTCGTAGAACCGACATTATCGACATAATGCGTGCATTAGTTTCTCACTCAGACTCCAGAGGTCTCTCGAACAGTTTAAAGGGTTTCTCACACCGATTCCGGAGGTCTCTCGCACAGGATTAAGGTACTTCTCACACCGACGCTGGAGCTTTCTCGAGGGGGTTCAAAGGGTTCCAGAAAATAGTTCTTTCTTGGAGCTTATAATTATAAACTGTCTTGAAAATAACTTAATTATGACTGCCGAAATGAGTCCCATAAAAGGCTCAAAAATTGAAGGCATTAATTCCACGATGCTCAAAGTAAAAAAGCTTTAAATTCTAGATCTCTTGGATCTTTATCTCTCCCAAAAATGGCTCAAAAGCTAGAAAGCTTTATTATTATTAACAATTAGTTACCGACATTATTGTTTACCAACAGCAGTAACCTTTTACTTCGCAATGCTCCGTCGGTATTTTATATCTTTAGAGTGTCATAGTATTTTGAACATTCTCCTATAGATGGCGCTGTTAATCCTATAAGCCGATGATGTAAATCATTAAATCTTGTCTATACATGTACTGCTTTTTAGAGTAGGATGTCAAGGTTTAAAATGTTTTAACTAAAATTGTACATTCCCTTTAATTGGTTCATTTTTTCTCTGATTTTAATTAACATGAAAATACGACTTAACCACTGATTGTCACATCACTGTGAACATCACTGCGTATGATGACGTGTCTGCAGCGCACCACGTGGATAGTATACATGACACGTCGCTTCCTACTTCACTCTGTGCCGCCAGTAAACGTTTACGGTATTCAGTGGTAGAGGGATTGGTTATTGCTGTGTGGCTTCCCAGAGCAGTCTTACTTTTTGTCTTCGTGAATGTTTAAAAAATTAAATTGAAGTTCCTTGTTTATTGAAGACTTAGGGGTAATAACAAATTATTGTAACACTAGCCTTTCTTGACTGATCGAATTTTATTCATATATTAAAAGCAAAGCAACAGAGAATACAATGGTGAGTAACTGTACAAGATGTTTTTGAAATTTTATGAATACATTTTCAATTAATATTCATGGTCACATTTCGTTCATTCTTTTAAGCCTCCTGCGCCTAGTTCTACCTCCGTTGGAGCCGCTGGTCGTTCGCCGAGTAAAGCTATAGCACCTAGAACAGGTGGTAGTGGCACTGTTAGGCAAAGGAAAACCACAACAACTGCGTCAACCAGGAGTAGAAATCCAGGTGCTGGTTCCGGTGGTATGTGGAGGTTTTACACAGATGATTCACCTGGCATCAAAGTGTAAGTACACTGTGTTATTGAGAAATTATAATTAATAATGCGAGTAAACTTGAGATACGATCAATATTTATACCTATGCAAGAGAAAGACTGATCCAAAGGTCTCAGAATCCTTTATCATAGTTCTAAAATGAATGTAAAGTGATTGGTATCTATAATGCAAAAAGAAATGTTAAAATATTTCAATTACTTTATGAAAATGCAAGTAATTGTACTGACAATTTAATGATTTATTTACAGGGGACCTGTGCCTGTGCTTGTGATGTCCCTCCTCTTCATCGCGTCTGTGTTCATGCTTCATATTTGGGGAAAGTACACGCGATCTTAAACTAAAAAATAGACTTTAATTTATAAGATTATAAGTGAAATAAATATAAAGAAATGTGTGGTATAAGTAGAGAAACCTATTGAGATTTAAGTTTCTACCTATAAAGAGAATCGATGTGACTTTAAAAGCATTCTGTCTTTTTAATGTGAATTCTTATAATTTATTCAAAGCAATTTTGAACGCTGTTCGTCATAAACTTCCATGCAATGGATCTCATGCAACTTGAACTTTCATCAAGAAGTTCAGACTTCAATGTGCAATCATGAACAACATGACTGCTATTTACTTTGCGTTCAACTGAATTTTGTAACATTTGTAAGGAGGGATCTAAGAAATAATTCTATTTCTGTATAATATACGATCAATATAAGACCTACTCGTTATTGTTTATAATGTTACTATTGATAATATAATGTACTTTACTACAATAAATTACTCTCGACCCAATTGAAATCTGTTTCAATATATAAACATTCTTTACATCCTGTCGCCTTTAATTTCTCCAAAAATCAAAAGACATCAAATCAAATTTTCCCCATCACGTCCATGGGATCCACCCCACACAGCAGTGTTTCTCATGTCATTCTCTACATTCAAAAATAATTCCCTTTTCCAATAAAAATCGACAAATTTCATTGTTTGATCCACGAGTGAATTATCAAACAATAAAATAACCGTAACGCTTCTGTTGGAAGCTTGATGATAAAAGCACATCTCGTCGAGTTCTCATCTCATTGTGAAATGAGAGACACTGGCAAGGAATACCGACCAGTGGGAGACGTATTCCAGCGAAAGAAGGATGAAGCTAGGGGGAGTGCGTCTGATGTTCCCGCAGTTCGACCGTCGGCTCGCAGGCACGTGATCATGGGTTTCTCGTTTTAGACTCGACATTGAATATTCCCTCCGTAGTCCTGCCGCTGGCTGCCGCCGGGTCAGGGTGGAACGTCGACCAGGTCCGCCCGTTTCTCGAGTTGCTACACGATGAGACTCCTCTCTCTCGAGGTAATCGTTGTTTCCTCCTAAAACGATGCACCATCGTTTCATTCCATCGCGCGAGCCCGAGACGCCGAATCCATTTGGGAGCCAACGAAACGACCTGTGCCTCCCGTTCACTGTGGCTCAAGATGCGATACGCGTTCGGCACGCGTACCGATCGCAACTTTTGACAATTATCGATAACGATCGAGACTCCATGGCGCGTTCATTTCTCGCGAGAGCCGCCTCCGCGGAAAGTGCTGACACTGGCTGTCGTCGGGAACATCGAGGAGCCCGTTCACGATGTTCTCACCGAAATTTCATGTCGGCCGAGCACCGACAGTAAACGGCGTGTCGCCTCCGATGAATCGCTCGCCGCGGTTAATTCTTTGCTGGACATTTTGAAAGACTCGTTCGGTTTCGGCGCCCGTTCGAAAAATTCAGAGAGGACCGTTGCCTCGTGACCGTGCGATGCAAAAGTTCCGAATAGCCAGGCTTAAGGAACGGTGAGTAAAGTCACGATTCCCCTGTGTTGTTTGTTGTGTCGTTGTTCTGTGTGACGAGTACATATATTCCTGTGCTGTAGCAGAGATTCCCTTGGAAATATTTTGAAACTGTTTCTAGAAAAATGTTGTCGGTAGAGTGTCCTGTTCGCACGGAGAGACAGCGGACGAATTGAACTGCATTGCGACGGTTGCGTTACCGAACGTGTTACCTAAATAATACTGATTAGGATCTATTCTCAGAGAACCGAGAGAGAGAAACACTGCGACGGGAACCTGTGTGCGACTGGCGAATTTGAATCGTAATCTCGATTCATGAAATTATCTTTTTGCATTTCGTTTCGACGGGAGTAACGAGCGAACGTGGATGCAGTATGAAGGTAGCGACACTGATGTTCCCTGATCATTTGTCAATCAATTTCTATAAATATATTGGGATCCTCGGATGTGTGACATTTTCATGCACGCGTCGAGGGGTAATCGATAAATGAAAGCTATCAAGGCGGGAAGGTACGTTGCGCGTGGAATCAAATCAAATCGGAAATATGTGTATCCATGGGAAGTACATTGTTCCTGTGTCACTTGCAATCTCTTCGTGTCCGACCAAAGTCGCGGTTATACTACTATCAATGTTTCACGGATAAAGTTGCAAAACTGTACGACGAATTTTAGTTTCGAGTAACGAATCGAAGAATTGCAGCTGACACGCTGCAGCGAGATTAACGCGTTCCGTGCCACGGAGATTTCAGTTGTGTTTTGCTTATGGATTATATTGATTTTTTAAATAAAATATTAACCTGGTGCACTCGAAAATTTTTTACTAGAAATATTCAACGTTTGATGATGAGGTTCTGTGAAACTAAGCAATAAGGAAACTTACATAAATCAAGAAGCTATTTTATTTCAGTACTTTATATATCAGGCGTTATATAAAGCTTAATATTATGAGCTTATAATTTCACTGTATCGAATCTAGTGACTGAGTCACCTCCAGAGTGCAAAGGGTTAAGTTATATTCAGGATTTAGTAATTTTATATATTCTGATATTGTCAAATTTAAATATTTTAAGTTATATTCAGGATTTAGTAATTTTATATATTCTGATATAGTCAAATTTAAATATTTTAATCAAAGATTAAAAATATTTTCATTATCTTTATTGGCACTATTTGAAAGGAACTAATGAAAGCATAAGTAAATTAAGAAACAAAGCTATTTTATAGAAATATTCCACTTATTGATGCACTATATGAAACTTAACCCTTTACACTCGAGAATATTTTTCTCAACAAATATTCATTATTCCCTGATGAAATATCAATAATATGTTTTACGACTAACATAAAGGAGGAATACCTTGCATAAATTAAGTAACTATTTTATTATAATATATATAATATTATATTATATATATATATTATATAATAATAATAATAATAATAGTTTATATAATAATGTATAATAATATTCTATATAACACTTTGTGACAAAGTCACTCGAGTGCAAAGGGTTAAATTACAAGAAAATGTGGAACACTTTCCA